ATTATATGTAACATATAAAAAAGCTATTTATTATTGGGCTATTGTACACTTTAAAAATGCTATTGTAAATATATATTAATGACATTTAAAAAAGAGTTACCATAATATATAAAGTGTTATAAAAAGTTGAAAAAATTTTTACCATACTATTTTAACATCAAGTGTTACCATAATATTCTACAATAACACTTTCGGAAAGTGCAATTTTTTTTTTAATTTTTAAAAATAAAAGTAATATTTTAACAACAAGATTATGAATTAAAATTTGGGGACAAATATTTACAATGAATTGAAATGTGTTGCTACGATTTTCAAACAGATTTTTTTTAATTACTGATCGTTGGTAATTTGTTTTAGAACAGATTTTCTTGATCTAGCTAGATATAGCAAAACCTGACCCGCCTCTGATCACCCCCCAATCCCGACCAAATTACCTAGCCCTTGACCTCGTACCCAATCCTATGCATTAATGAGTTTTTTTTAATGACATATATGTTATTACTAAAAACTTGAAAGGAATGAACAATACTTGTACGTGTATTATATTTTTTTTAACAAATTTTGTCACAATCTATCACGTTTAGTTTGACTCAAATATTTTGTCATAATACCTCTATTTTAACATTTTCAAATGATAATTTTTTTTTTTTTTTTTTTTTGCAATATAAATAATTCTTTTGTGACAAATTAATTTGTAATTAGCATGTATTACTATATATACTGATTAAAGTTTTTATGAACAAATATGTTTCATGATAAACAATTTATCTCAGTGTTTAAATTTTGAACAAAACATTTTGTCATTAATACCTCTATTTTAGCATATATTATGGCAATTTTTTTTTTTTTGTAATATAAATAAATTCTTTGTGCCAAAATAATTTGATTTATAACCTGTTAATCTAAAATATAGTGATTAAAATATTTGATGACAAAATATGTCTGTCACAATAAACAATTTACCTAGACGCCAAAATTTGGCGCCAAAAATTTGTGACGAAATATTATCATAAAAATGTTTTTCTTCATTACATTTATTATGGGTTTCTTTATTGTGATAAAATATTATGACCATATTAGTTTTAGTCACTATATATTCTCTTTGTCATACTTAATGTGATGTTTCTTTATTTTGTCATAATACCTATATTACTCGTGACAAAATAACATTTGACAAAATTAATTTTGTCACAATATAATATATTTCTTGTAGTATTGTTTTGTAAATTGTAACTTTGTAATTTGTAAATTAACTGTCAATTATTGCACTCTTTTTTCCTTACCAAGTTTTTATCCCAATTGGGTTTTTCTTGGTAAGGTTTCTAACAAGGCAACAATTGTTGTAATTTCTTATTTTTTATTTTATTTTTTGAAAAATGAATAAATCTAATTTTTCTTATATTGCAATTTAATTGAATTAATATTTGAAATGTTAACTAAAAAAAAAAAAAATTTAATTGAATTGATATTTGAAAAGTTAACTAAAAAAAATTACACAAAAGACAAAAACATTAAAAATTAAAAATTAATTTTTTTGGTGGGCCGACCTGGCCCTGCCCACATAAAAACCCGTCGGGTTAGGTTAGTGAGTCGAGTCGGGCTAGCCCTTTTGAAAAAGAGGTCGGCGGGTTAGTTGGGCCACTTTTCTACCTCTAGTAGAGAGCTTGATGAGATTTGACTTGAAATATGTTAATTATTTTTATATTCTCTTTGTCTCGTTTGTGCAAAACTGGAGGTAATTTTCCATGTATGATTATGTCCAGTTTTCTTTAATTAAAACATTGGTTGAAATAGTAGAGTGTATTTCCTGTAGTCTATAACCTATAGCCCACTTTCTCTACTTCCCCAAAATCTTCACATCCCTTCACTCTTTTCTTCATCAAGAAACCAACTCCGCACTTTCTAGCTCTTTCTCAAACACTCAAATCAGGTCACACCAAATTATCCTAATATCCTATATATTTTCTAAACAAATAATCATCAATTCTAGATAAATCCTTGAGTATATATATTTAAAGTCTTGAAAGAAAAGGAAATTAAGGGTCCGTTTGGTTTGTTATTTTGGATAGGATTTTGGGAATAATATTGGGTAGTTGAATAGGGTGAGTATTACGAGGTAAACTTTAAAAATTAACAAAAAACCCCCTAGGTTTGCTAATTTAACTAAACACCCCAATATATAAATTTTTTGTAAAATGACAAAAACACCCCCACCTACCCACAGTGCCATGTTCCGGCCACTACCGCCGGAAAATGATGTTACAACGCAAACCGGTCGAATCTGGCCAGTTGTGCATTGATATGGCCTTTTTCGACCAGATCCACCACGAATATGGCCGAAAAAGGCCAAATCTACAGCCATATCTGGCTGTTGACGACCACAAAATGTCAGATTCGGCCGTCAGCAATGGCCAAAGATATGGCCGTCGTTGTCGATCAACGACGGCCAAGATTTGGCAGTCAGATCTTGCCTTTTCCAGCCAGATCCACTGTGGATCTGACCGAAAAAGGTCAAATAGGTGAATTATCGGCCAGTTCTGGTCGTTTCTACGTCGTTGTGACAGATTGTCGGTAACGGTGGTTGCCGGAATTTGGCAACTATGAGTGGGTGGGGGTGTTTTTTTTAATTTTTAAACTTTTTTTTTTTAGGGGTGTTTAATTAAATTAATAAACTTAAGGGGTCTAAAAGTAATTAAAAAATATAATAATATTTCCCAAATAATTAAACAAACAAGTATTTTGGGAATAGGATAGGGAATAATAAAACAAACGGACCCTAAACCTCTTTGAACAACTTTGAAGGTAATATATTAGTCTTCGAACGAAAGAAAGGTGAAGATGATCACAATTTTCAACCAATGGTATTACAAACTTAAATGTTTCAATTTAATATAAATTAAAATAACACAACATTGTTATCTAGTAAAATAACACAAGAACAAAACGAAAAACGCACAACAATTTTATTTTAACCTAAAACAAAAATAAAAGATGAAGATTACCTAAAACAAAAACAAAAGAAGAAAAAGTCAATATGTGTATCCTCGCCGGGTACAATGAGCAAAAGAAAGGGTTACGGGAGAAAACGCTTCAGTCTTAAAGAGTAGAGAGTTACATAGAACCTAGGTCGCAGTAGTTTCAGTTTTAGAGAGCAAAGAGAGAGAGAGAGAGAGAGAGTTATGAGAGAACAGGGAGAAAAGGCAAACAATTTTGTGTTCTTTTTTTTTTTTTTTTTTTCAAAGTCAACTTTACTGGGACGTGGTTTTTATTTTTGTGGTTTGATATAAATTGACTATATTACCGTTCTTCAAAACAGAAAACACTAACAAGACCTAACGGAGGGTGGGAAAGTGTCATTTTAAAACTTGACGAGTGGGAAAGTGTCAATTCGCCAAACCTTGGGTGGGAAAATGTCTTTCTCCCATTCTTTTGAGTTCCACTTCTTTTCTTTACATTAAATAAATTAAATTAAAAACAAATTAAAATCATAAAATATATAAAGCCCGCCCAAAATAAACCCACACCCTTATGTTTAAAATCCCACCCCCGTCGCACACCCAACCACTACCTCCTTTACTTTTATCCTCTTCCTCTGCCACCCCTTTATCTTATACACTTTCTCCTCCCTTTTCAAATTGAATAGCTGACAACTGGAGAGGCAGCAGTCAAACTGTTGAAGTGGTAACATCTAGATTGATTATTCACTCATCAGAAATTCACTAATTTCATATCCAAAGATCAAAAGTCAGATAGGAAAGGATCCCCCAATTACGGAGCCAATCTAGGTAGGAGTCCGAGGATGGAATCATCAAAGATTTACCAACACATCTTTGAATATGGAATCATCCAAAGCGTTATTCACATTTTTTTCTGCTCACGTCATATGTACCTCCTACCAGTTTCACATCCATGCCCCGGAGAAAACTTCCACTACATTTCAGATATATTATCAGTAGAACTAAGCCAACAACTCTTCACCACCCGAAGAAGTAATGTCTCCTATTAAACTAGCTACATACACACTACCGAAATGGAATGAGATTCTAAAAGATTAGATGATTATATTACTTGAAGAATTGGTCCTATGGTACATTTCTATTTTCACTACCTACCAAAAAAAATCAACTTGTCAATCCTTAACCGGCTATAACTATCCTCTTGCACAACATTTACCGAACAAATGGAACTTGAGTCACTCAACAATAAAACACACATCAAGCACGGTTGAATGCCTGACTGCAAACTTTGTTCACACTTTTCGGCAATGCGAATAATTAACAGTGCACAACTTTACAGGCAACTTTAGCTCCTGGGCTTATTTTCATGAGAGGGTTTCAGTAGGGCACGGTGAATGGTAATGCATATATATCGGCCTTAGGCAAGTAATAAACGTGTGGCAAAGTAGTTGAGTTCGAAAGAGGTAAACCAAGACTACCCACTTCACTAATTTTGGCTCCACATATCTAGTCCTGCTTTGTCCTGAACAGCCATTCCTTATCACAACTTTACACGCAACTTTAGATCTTGTGTTCATTTTTATGAGAGGGTTTCAGTAGGGCACGGTGAATGGTAAAGCATATATATCGGCCTTAGGCTTGTAACAAACGTGTGGCAAAGTAGTTGAATTCGAAAGAGGTAAATCAAGACTACCCACTTCACCAATTTTGGCTTCACATATCTGATCCTGCTTTGCCCTGAACAACCATTCTTTATTATCAAAAGTGCAGTCAGGTTCCGTTGGAGGTGGAACCCAGTTCTCAATGACATCTCTGAATTTTAATGCTAACTGAGGGGAGCAGCGACCACACAAACTTGATGGCACAACTGTCTCAGCCGTCTGAGCAGAACTTTAAGACACTTTTGTAGAGAGGCAAGACTTTTCTTCGTTGAGCCTTAACACGAGTTTTGGACAAATCTCTCTGGAAGTAGAACAAGGTAGTTCTACCTCTTCCAAGCCTTTTCTATAAGCATGTTCCTGCATCACTTGAGTACAAGCATCGTCAGTCCCCCCAGAGGCAGAGCAAGGCTATTCCCTGCTGGGTAAACTTCTGGATCATTTTGCCTTTGGAAAGGCAACCGGATTCGGATGCTGCTTCCTTCGTATTAATAATAACAATTTGAAGAAAGAACATCAGTGCCCATGTGAAGAAAACAAACCCAATAAGCAAACAGCCTCCCCATCGAAAAGCAAAAACACATAGGCACTCACCAGAATTATTCTCACCATCAAGGGGTGAGCTCAGCGTCTTTTGGTGCTGCTAAGAATGTTGTCAGAAGAGTTCTGAGATCCAACCGGATGCCCATGTTCTTCAGTAAGGATACTCTTCTCAAGTTCGTTCTCTGTTTTCTTTTGAAGACCTCCTTCTTTTTGATCTTCTTGGTTCCTATCATCCTTGTGCCTTTTCTTATGTCGGTGCTTCTTACTTTCAACCGCTTCACTTCCCTGAACCTTTTCCTTTTCTTTTTTCTCCAATTTTTTCTCTTTCTTCCTTTCTTTCCTTTTCTTCTTGGCCTTTTCTCCCTCCCGTTGGAGCTTCAAATCACAAGAGTAACCATCCATTTGAGAACGAACAAAGAAGTGGGAAAAGCCAAAAAGAGCAAGCACCATCAGTTTCACAGAGAAGAGAGCATGCAAAACTACAACAGAGTTGTTTACTTAGATGTAATGGGTACAAGTAGGCATGCAAAAAGGTATGTAAGCAAAAACAATCAGAGAAATACCACAAAAAGACCTTCCTAAACAAAGATACAATTTTAGGAATAAGTACAAAGAGTTGCACAGAGTTACAAGCACACTCGATAATTTACTTGGGGAGGAAATTCCAATGGGTAAAAATTAGTAATCACAATAAAATTCATATATTAACAAGCATAATAGAAGAACATCAATGAATCTAACTTTTTTTCTCTCCCCGTTAATTTGTCCTTGTTCATAATCTTATCTATTATCCACTGCTAAAAATTCTCATTCATATAATATATAAGCCAATCTACCTAGTGTGACTTAAACATAGACCATATGTTAAACATAAATTACCAACCTCACCCAATAAGATAAAAACTTATAATGCCTTGAAGAGGACTTGAACCTCCACGCTCTTAAGCACAAGACTTTTGATCTCACGTGTCTACCATTTCACCACCAAGACAATATCAAGATGAATCACATTCAATGTGTGAATCATATTCCAAACACATGATATCCTTCTTCCCAGTGACCAAACATAAGAGTGAGTAACTAACAAAAATGTAATTCCAACGACCCAGCCATGTCAAACAAGAGCTAATCAAACTCAAAATAAAATAGCCTTAAAGCATAATCAAACTCAAAATAAAATAGCCTTAAAGCATCCAAACCATTACCAAAACATATAACACATAAGCTTATACTGAATCTTAATCAACCTAAATGAAGTCTATAAACCTATTACTAGTAATGAATTTTCTTGAGCTCCTCTTCCATAGTCCCCTCTCCAGTACACATGACTTTGTGACAACATGAAAGCGCCCTACTCAGAATAAGCTAACATCAACCTCAAGATTGATAATTGATTCTTTGTTTGTGCTCTTAATGGTTATTTAGGGCAACTTTACTTACAAGAACCTAACGTTACAACATCAATTACAAATTAATATTCAGACGCATAAAAACGAAGTCATTTAATTCAGGTACAATTGGGCAGAAGGAAGTTTGGCGACTAAAATGGGTCATGAAAAACATTAATGTTCTAGCTCTATTAATTGAAGGTTCCATGGTTACTTATATAATTATTGATGATAAGAGGAGCAATGCACCAACATATTCTTTTCTTCATCGGGTAGTGACAGGCAGATAAGAGAACACTAGATGTACTTCTTCATTGGGTAGTGACAGACAGATGAGAAAACACTAGATGTTTTTCTTCATCGAGTAGTGACATGCAAGTGAAAAGACGCTAGACTAGAAATATTGGCAATTCAGTGTCAAAATCTTTATCACCCTAAAAGAACAAACACTTCCCCAAATTCAGCCCAAGAGTTGATAAAGGTAAAGTTTTGGTAGCAAGTGTTTGGATTAAAGAGTATATATAAAATTTTTGTCCTTTTAATTGTTAATTCGAGGTATAATTTATACAATCCCTAACACACTATTTACTCTAGTATACACAAATCATCACAATCAGACGATTGGGAAACGAACACATCGAGTAGTCAAGTCAGTCGATTGCAATGAAGCCATGAATGCTCAACAAACAAACCTTGATCGATTCAATCAAAGCCTCATCGCGAATACCATTCTTCACATATCCCGGTGGAGGATATGGGAAGCAACGAGACATCGTTCAACTGGACAAAGCGTAATTTTGTGTGAAAGAAATGAAGATCTGTCAAAAGAAAGTAAACAAACCTAACTTAAAGCTAAAATTAACCGACCAAGAGACTTTATCTAGGGTTTTAGTAAAGGCACATGTAACTTTCCCGCCAAAATCTTGTTTAGATCAAGACAAGGGGTGGGGGTTCTAAGGTTAGAGTTTGAGAAGACGAGACGCGTAAACCAGAGCTAAAGGGGATCTTGAATTTGATCCAGAGAAAGACCAAAAGCAAAAGAAAAAAGTGGGCAGAGAGGATTACTTATATGGACAAAGATGTTCGCATGTTTGGAAACAGGGATATCTTTGAATACAGGACACATGGAAGATTTCCATTCCCTCATTAGAATTATTGAGGGATCTGTTTGGAAACGGGAGCGGTGTCATTCTTGTATTAAGTTTATTCAGAGTTTCTCCATTTACGTCTTCTGTATTTTGTATTTAGTTGACCCCAATACAGTGCTGAAATGATTCCAGATTGCAACAACTACTAGATTTTATCTTATTGTATAACCGAAAAGAAACATCACAAGGATAAACACAATTTAGATTAAGAAACTTTTACCATATTCAATTTGATAAATATCAGTAAAAATGACCTAAATCATAAGCCCAAAAAACTTGCAATTTTCCTCTACTTAAAAATAAGAATAAGATTGAATAATCCCACAGGAGAGCCCAATTCAAAAGACCAATTTGATAAGTGAAAAATGAGTAAACGACTTTTTCCCATCCAAATAATAGTTTAATGACAATTTCCACTTATAGATTTTTAAAATATCATTTTATTACCCAAATTTATATTTCGTTTCCGATTCCGACATCGTTACGACCCCACACTACTACCATTCTTTTTCCCGATCATCACTCACCAAAACCTCTCAAACCCTACTCCTGTCGACTCCGTCAATCGCCAACAATCAAGTGATTAGGGTTTGTGTAGCTATCCCTCCTAAGTCAAATTCCGATTACTCTCAATCTCAATCACCAAAATCCAACCTTTCACTACCAAAAGACTCATCGATCTCCTCTCTTCAACAGCCTCAATAACCTAAACCGAGTTTATTCTCTATTTATCGTCAAAATATAAATTATGGTAACAAAATAATATTTTAAAAACCTATAGGTAAAAAATTATCATTAAACCATTATTTAGATGAAAAAAATCGTTAACTCATTGAAAATACCCTTAGGCTTAAATACCATATTTAATGTGTATGAATCCAATCCAAAAGACTGATCTAAAAAAACCTTAGACTTAAATACTATACTTGGTGGGTATATATATATACGATCCCGACGGTCGGATCGGTGATCTGAGATGCTAACATTTTCTGAGATCACATGCAATTTCCTGTTCAATTTTGATGTTGATTGATTCATAGATTGTCATGAACTTTGAAAGACGAAGGACTCGAAGCTCAATGCCTCAGATCACAAGATGAGAATAAGGTTCTGCAAGTGTGCTGTAACGTCCCCTTGAAGACCAAAGCAAATATAGTTGGCTATACGGTGCCAATACATGTTTTCACTTCAGTACAAAAACATAAACCATTTAGCCTCAATTACAAAATGTACAACATAAAGAATCTTAATTAATTTCTCATTTAATTTACATAACCACACAAGCAGCAGGGTTCTCGTCACTAAACGCAGTGGTGTACTTGACTTCGAAAGAGCTAGCACGTGCGAGAGCAAAGGCTTCGGGGTCCTCCAGCACGTTTCGCACGTACCCAGGTGGTGCCTTCTTATCATACGCGCCTGGCGCGTACGGATGAGGCACTACATCATACGGTACATAAGGCCAGAACTCCGCCTTCTTTCCCGTCCGATGTCTTACGCGTTCCAGCACCTTGTCGGGGTCCACGTACCCAATCACCATCAATTTGCTTTGCTTGGGCTCCACCTCCACTTGTGTCACCTCTTTCATGCCTTCCACTGATTTCTTCACTCTTCGCTCACACCCTTCACAGTCCATCTTGATCTTAATCTCCACCGTCTGGTTTATTCACACAAAAAGAAAAACGCGAAAAACTCGGAAGCACTTCTACGACATTTAGCATATAAAGAACCTCGGACAATGCAAAAAGCACTTCTAATAAACCTTAAAACAAAGTCAAAAGCACTTCTAATGCATACCTGTAATTGCTTAATTTTTTTGAATTTCTTGTGGCTGCGAATGCCATGGCAGTCGCAGAGTTCAGAGACGTCCTCAAGAAAGCCCATTGCAGGACGCATACAACACGAAAACAAGAAAGTGATACGTCTGATTCAGACCAAGCAATTAATAAGATTTATATTTCAACGTTGAAAGTGATTTTCAAACAGTCAGATTCTTCTTAGAAGGAAAAACCAGTACCAGGAATCATAGCTTATATATATATATATATATATATATATATATAATGAAAATTTGAGTGATGAATTATTGATAAGCTCATGAGCAGTTGAAGGTGGTGTAGCTGTTATGGACATGACACGTGTGGTCTGGTGCATGTGGAAAATGATCTAGAAGCACCACGTTGTTTCTAGGCCTTGTTAAGTGAGAAATATTGAGCAGAAGCATTTTTAAGGCTTCGAGCTTATCACATTGTAACTGAAATTCCGGAAGATATTATAAGTACAAATAGTTGTACTGTTAATAAGAAAAACTATGCTGGAGTATTCTAGTTACTTCCATGCTTTAGTTACAGTCTCCTCTTCAATAATGGAAAATCTCGAGATCATCACTTTAAAGAAACAAACCTAAGATGCTTTTTCAAAAAGTGTTTCGAATATTATTTAATTGATGAAGCGCTTTTCTGTAATTTTGTAAAAAGAAAAATTATTTAAATATGTTTCATGTTGAAATTGACGACCACTTGCTCCACTTTAACCATAAACGGTTCGTTTACAAGCGGCGATGCACACGAGGTCTCGCACACTGGTAAGTGGGTGGGGGCCCACCTATTCGGTGAACAGGCGGGGTAAGGGGCAGAGGCCCATAAACAAGGAATGTATACGAACCGAGCTGACTTGAGTATCTCGATATTCAAGCTCGGTTTGTGATGAACGATAACAAGCTCGAGCTCGAGCCGAGCTTGATCGAACTTCAATATTGGTGTTCGAGCTCGAGCTCGCGAGTATTAAGGTGAGAACTCGAGCTCGCTTAAATGAGCTTAAATGAGCTCGAGACAGAGTATTACATAATTTTAAAATCCGGAGCTCGTTTAAGCTCGTGAGCCTGACGAGCCGAGCTCAGTCGGATTTAATTCGACTCGATACTGTTCACGAGCTACTCGAGCTCGAGCTCGGCTCGACTGGCTTTGAATAGAATTCGAGCTTTCGACGAGCCGAGCTCAAATAGCTCGCGAGCTACTCGACTCATGTCTCATCTCTACCAGAAATTATAAACAGTTTGGGGTTAATACCACGAATAAATGCTGCAAAATTCTCTAAGGATTCTAACTCTCAATAGAGTTGGGTTTAGGGATAAGAATCCTAGCGGTTTAAGGTTTCTCTTCATAAATTTTATATATAAACGCATCGTTCTCTTGTATTAATGATATAGAAAATCAAAATAAATATTTACTCGGTTAAATATAATCTGGTTTTACGTGAACCAGGATAATCACACGTATTTCTTTTTCTTTATTATTTTGTTATTTGTGGGTGATTAGTTTTAGTTTAACTCAAAACGCTCTTTTGTTCTTTCATTTCAAAATTATGTCTCGTGTAAAAACAGCTCTACATACTGATATTGTTTTAATAATTAACATATTCTCGTTTGTTAATTGTTTTTTGTCATGTTTTTATTTATTAATGTTATTCTCTTAATCAAAATAAAATATGTTCAAATATTGAACATAAATATTATTTCAATAATTTGTAATTAACTAATACTATAAATTTTATATTAGATATGATAATTGATATGTACAAAGAGTTTTTATTTTTCCAGAAAATACAATAAATATCTCAGGGTGCATTTGGTACATTATTTCTACCCATATTCCCAATCTTATTCCCGAAATATTGTTTGGTACATTATTTGAGAAATATTAGTATATTTTTTTAATTCCTTTTAGACCCCTTGAGTTTATTAATTTCATTAAATACCCCCAGAAAAAAAGTTTAAAAATTAACAAAAACACTCCCACCCACTCATACTTGCCAGATTCCAGCAACCACCGTCGATGGTAGCCGGAATCTGTCACAAAAGTGAATTAACGACCGGAACTGGCTGTTAATTCACCGATCTGGCTGTCAACGAGGGCTAGATCTGGACTTTTGCCACCATTGACGGTCAGATCTGGCCGGAAAAGGCCATATCGACGCCCTACCCTCCAGATCCGATCGGTTTGTGTCGTAACGTCATTTTCGACCAAATTCCGACGGTGATTGCCGGAATCTGGCACTGTGGTGGGTGCCTGGGTGGGGGTGTTTTTGTTATTTTATAAAATTTTTATATATTGGGGTGTTTAGTTAAATTACAAAACCTAGGGGTTTTTTTGTAAATTTTTAAATTTTACCTTGTAATACTTCCGTATTCAACTACCCAATATTATTCTCAAAATCCTATCCAAAATAATAAAACAAACGGACTCTAGTCTGCCTTCTATTAACTCTTCCCTCCCCATGAGTTTACAAAATAAAAGAGAGGAATCCCAAAGGCGACTCGTATATATTATTCTAAAAGCAAGAGAAATGTCAGTTCTTTTAATTAAGCAAGTCTTTACGAAAGGGTAATTATATTGTTGATCAAATTAATACATGTATGACCTTTAATTTCAAATTTGATTGGCAATGTATATTTTCAGTAATTGCCAATCTAATTGTGACAGGGCCGTCTTTAGAATATTTGTGATCCTAGGCAAGAGTTATTTTTGGGCCCTCTAATAATATAAGCATATATTAAATTTTTTTTTTTTTTTTCCCCTTTGGAGATGAAAAATCACTAAGAGAGGTGGACAGTAATTGGCAGGCTAACTAGGTTAGGTTGGTGGGGGGTTTTGAGAGTAGATGTTGGAAAAGTGATGGGTGGTGAAATAGGTGATTTCTAATGCCAAGATTGATAAGAAAATGCTTGAGAAGTCACGGCCCAAAAGGTATTGATGGCCGACGATTGGCAGAGTAAACTTATAAGGTATGATAGTTGTTTTGGTGAGAGCGCTGAGGGGAGGAAGATGGTGGTGTCGGGGAAGGCCAACAATGTCGGGTACATGCTAAAAAGGTTGGAAATGGCTATCGTGTGGTGGAGTTGGGTTGCGAGATTTATCAAAAATTAGTCAAATCGAGGGCTATCAAGGTTGGGAAATGATAAAATGATGATTTCGATCGATTTTTGTGAGAAAATCGACTGGAACCAAAATTGACCGAAATCAACTCTAAACCACTGGCGGCAGAAGAGGGCTGGAGATGATTTATGTGAATGTCAAATTTTGGGATTGAATTGGGGGTGAGTAATTTGAGATATGTAAATGACTATTTTAGTCTTCCATTGTTAAAAGAGATTCACTGTGTTAATTTAGGAGTATAAACTAGAATATATAAAACTAGAGGTACAAACTTGCTATTTTGTTAAACTTTGGGTGAGAATATATGTAAAAAAATTATAATAAATTTGGGCTTTTTTGGCTTTTTTTGGGGGCCCCTTGGCTTAGATAAGAAATTATAAACCATTTTTATTTTTATAAGATATTAAAAAAAAAATTATAAAAAATTTGGGCCCCCATTTTTTTGGGGCCCTAGGCAGGTGCCTCACCTGCCTACCCCTTAAGCCGGCCCTGAATTGTGACAAGACTGCTCAACTTATTTAGAGTAAACAACTTTTCCCACCCAAATAATTGTTTAATGACATTTTTTTAACTATAGATTTTTAAAATACCATTTTAATATCTAAATTTATATTTTTTTTTCGATTCTAATATCGTTGCGACCCCACACTACCATCATTCTCTTTTCCGATCATCACTTACCGAAACCCCTTAAACTCTATTCCCATTGACCCCGCCAATCGCCAGCAATCAAACGATTAAGATTTGCGCAGCCACTCCTCCAAAGTCAAATTCTGATCAATCCCAACCACTAAAATCCAACCTTCCACCACCAAAAGACTCATTGACCCCTCCTCTTCAAAAGCCCCAATAATCTAGACCAAATTTACTCTCTGTCCGACGTCAGAATATAAATTTAGATAGTAAACTAGTATTTTAAAAGCCTTTGATGGAAAAGTGTCATTAAGTCATTATTTGGTGGGAAAAAGTCATTAACTCACTTATTTACTACCAAATTGAACCACCGTTACATGGTTCTAACACTGATTGATCAATCTATCATATTTGAATTCAAGCTTATTCTATTTAATCTATCAACGCACTTTATAATAAAAGAAAGTTTCTTCAAAAGCAAGGACAATTATATAAACCTAACACTATGATACATGCAAATAATTTTGGCTACATACAGTGTTACGTAGATACTGAAGATCCATTCTGTCTTCTTCTTCAACTATAATTTTTTATTTCTTATATTGATTATATATTAAGGACTAAGGAGGTCTTGCCTGCGTATCTCGATCCGAATTTGCAGCCTGAAGATATGGTTAATTACTTGCGTAAGTTTTGCCTCGGATGGCGGTGGATATGATCTTCTCACTTCCAAACTAAATGGTACAAATATATCGGTCTCTCCCTAGATCTTCATGTTGTTTAATAAATTGACTTTAATAACTGATACATCTTTATATACAGTCTGTCTCTTCTCGTTATCAGATCAATTAGAGATGTTCAAGAAATCCCTGACGGAGATGAAGGCAATGGGGGGAGAAGAAGAAACTGCAAGTACAGTGTCGAAAAGCATATTCATATTGTGTTCAGTAAGGGATGATATTTTACATACTTATCCATTAAAAGAAGAGCCCGCTATGATTTCAATTCCGACACCCATTTGATAGTAAGTTCAGCTTCAAATTTGGTCAAGGTATGTAATACATAACAAGCCCTGGATTGATTAATCGATGTAAAAGGTAGTGTTATATATAAAGAACAAAAATAAAAGATATTAAAATATGTTCCATCTCAAAGAACAATACGCAGAGGATTACCGAGACGATAGTGTTGAGTCTTGAATCAATCAGCTCAATTTTTTAATTCAAAGCTCTTATTGGAATTAGATTCTCTTAATAAAGAGTTTCTTGACTCTTCAATTGTATAACTTGACATATATAATCGGTTACTTTCCCTTAT